TTGACAAGTATGATCAAGAAGTATTTTCCCGCTTAGATCCATTTCGCTGATGCAATCGACAAAATCCATGCACATTGAGAAAATCTGCGCGTGGCCGCACGATACGCCGCGTGACGACGTTTCAAATTAGGTTGCCTGTCCGCCCTCCCTGCACGAGGTAAGCAACACTTCCAGCCGGTACACCGCCTCCGCCCTGCTAATAGGTTGAAGGCATTAACCTGTATATGAGCTACGCATTGCTACGCCCCGTGGAATTTGACGGAAACCTGAATGGAACTTAGGTGCACGGCGCATCCCAAGGTGCGTTTACCCAATACCAATTTGTTCCTTTCAGTGTGTTCTGCTACCTGTGATTGATTCACTTCCCTAATTTCACTAAAATGAGAAGTAACTTGATGAAAGAAGGCTTAAAGACAGTTCCCAGTTCCCGCGATCAAGTGGTCCGCGAAATGCCTACGTGCTTTTTTCATCGTTTTCCGCATTCACAGAGAATATACCACTTTCGTCACTTGAAACAGTGACATAGGGAAACTAGAGATGCGTGATTATTGCAACCATTGCAACCACGATCACTTTCACTCTACAGAACAACGGCTTACAATCAAAACTGCGTGTGGAACGTTGCGTGGAGCGTCGTAAAGTGATTTCCTACACTCTTGCCGGGAAATGGTTGCAGTCGAAACCAGCTGACTGGCTTGCCGACAAACTCGCCCAATTCGTCCACTGCTAAGGGGGTTTTGGTTCAGAGTGTTCCAAGTATTTTTCGCTTCTTTCTCTACTGGAGACTTACTTATGGGCTACTGGTTCATGACTGAGCCCCTACTACCCATAACACTTGATCGCGGGGATTGTCTTTAATTCAGAGGAATATCCTGAAGTTATCCAGAAGAATAATGGGAATCAAACTGAACCGAGCCTTTGACCTCTCAAAATTACTAGTACGAATGACAGGGTAACTTGGACAAAAGAGATTCCGGCTGCGCATATTTTTTTACAAAACATGAAATAATTCGAGAAAGAAAGGAAACCTAGCAGTGGTCTGACCATTCCTGTGACGTGGCTGGAAAAAACATAAATCCAATTTGGGCAAGGGATACGTTTTTTCACATGGCAACGTTGCGTGAAATTTCCTGCTTTTTAAACTATAAGCGGGGATTATTGATCGTCAGTAACCATTTAGTCTACGCCTACATAGTTCCAAAATAATCTCCAACAATTTAAACATGTAAATGGTCCCAAACTTCCTGTTCTAAGCGATTTAATCGATACCTATGTCTTGCAGGTGGTCGATCTTCAGCACTGCCTATTCCAGTGCTTTGCCGAGCGTAGGCGTCAACTCGCATTCGAGCATCCATCGGGCCTGCCCATTCGGAATGCCCTCCCCAATCTGAGTGCCGATGTCGTAGCAAATAACTGTAAATGTTTGGATAACAGGAGCAACCACACCTCCTTACTATTAGCAGAAAAAAAAGAAGAGAAACAGTTATGGACCTGTTCTCCATGTCGGGGACAGACGGCCGAGGCTCGTCGACGCTCGTGCCGTCGCCTCGAATCAGACGAGGATGGAAACGTATAATATTGCTTCATCTGCGATGTCTTCCACTGAAATGATCTATATTTTAATGAGGGGGCGGGTACGAGAAAGAGGACCACTTATTATTGTGGGCAGGCCGGCAGATTCATCAACGCTGGCGTTGTTTTGCAAAAAATTTAACATACTACTTAAAATCCTTATCCCTGCAACGGAGTGGGCGTGGCATTCGAACACGGCATAGAACGGATGACTCGTGAAATGTTTCAGTTTGAGACAACTGTCATCTTTTCATGCGTTGGACAGAGACGCCACCGTAATGTGATCAGACATGAAAAATCTCTCCAAAAACGAGAGTCACCGCCACTTCGTGGTAAAGTACGCTGCCACGCCTACCACATTTCAGGGATTTTGAGTATATTTATAGGAGCAGTAGGATCCCAGGCACAGCTTTGCGGCGCTGTTTGTCGACTGGGGGCGGGCATTTCTTGTATTAATCATTGCTTTCCTTAGTTCCGATTTTACCACGATTTCACTCTGGTAAAAACTTTCGTGAAATTCTTTTCGTGGTGAAAACCTGAGTAAGATCGTCTAGCCACTATCCTAAAACGTGTCAACCGGAGAAACGGCTGCCTAGATGGGTCGACACATCTATGGAGAGCGAAATGCCCCCCCAGTCGACAAACTGCGCCCAGCTTTGCTTCTCTGCGCAAATGTCTGCCTTTGACCTCTCAAAATTACTAGTACGAATGACAGGGTAATTTGGACAAAATGAATACTAAGGAGTGGAATGTTTCGTCTGCGAACGGCAAAAGACATTAAGCGACTGGGGAAATGACTTGGGACAAATGAGTAGGCGATCTGCATAGAACTCCAATCAAGCGACAAGGGCAGCGTATTCACTATGCGCATATTAAATCTGCCTGTGCCCATCTACAAGCTTGACTAGTCGGCAAAGGAAAAGCATCAGGAAATCGGCTCACCTTGGGCAATGTTCCTTGTGCTCCGGCAGACAGACCACTTGCCATGGATGTAGGACAAAGGGCTGCTGACATTGGTAACGTACCAGTGGCATTCATGGCACCTGGAAGTGTGCCACCAGCCCCGATCCCCGTTATCGGCATCGTGGTAGACGGCAGAGCGCCTGCGCTACCTGGCATTGCGCCACCGGCAGCCATTGCTTGACCACCTAGAGTTGATGGCCCGATTCGATCGGTGCCGACTAAACTATTATATCCCTGAATTGCTGAGGCAGTGTAAGAAGAAAGTGGATTAGCTTGAAAGGGCATTGAAGTGAGCATTGGTGGGGCAGTGTATGGTGCATTCTGCGGTCCAGAAAGAGGTGCAACAAAGTGCCCAGTCGGATACGATTGAGCCATGTCGAGCAGAGGTGCTGTCTGTAGTAATCCGTCAGAAATAGCACCAAATGATGGTCCACGAGGTACGCGAGCCACGTTCGAGTCACACGAGACAGCGCCTTCTCTCGTCCGTGTCCGAACGGTAATGAATATGGGCGGATCGTCCGAGAGATCGGCTAGTCGTAGCAGAACGTGATCAGCTGCAAAAAGAGGGGGTGAGGACTTGGTCAAGGGCTCAATACTAATGTGCTTACCTGTTGCGGAAGGCACCTGAGCGATGTTCTTGCCGTCGGCGTAAATGAGGTACGAGTGGACGGCGGCTCGTGACGGCGGCTTCGGTTGATTTGTGACTGGCGTCCACGAGATGAGCAACGTTCCCGATTGAGGTCCGTTCTCGGCTTGCACGTTCGTCGGCGGATCGGGTAGGCCAACTGAAATGAGAAAGCAATATGAGTATGTGAGCGTGTGTGTTGCGTGTGTGCACGGATATGAAAGCAGGCAGCATCGTCATTTCCCTCGGACACGCTTGAGAATCGAATTCCAAGGACAACGCGTTAAAATGAAGATGAAAAAGCAAAAGCTCTTGCTCTTTTCGCCACTCGATACCGCTCTTGACGACTAATTCTCCCAAGAGTTTGCAAAAGATGGCGAAAATTCAATGGGTCAACACTGAGGAGGGCAGCCCCTCGAGCACGATTCAAAAAAGTGAAAAGCCCTCAATTTCGTAACTTTGACGCAACAATTTGAAGAGTGGTTAACGCCAAAGTGCAAAGAAAACTTTTGTAAGGTCAAGGATGCAAGGACGAAGTGCCTGGGATGCGCCATGCTTATTGGATTAAAGGACTTACGTGGAGAGCTACTTGCGGAAACATGATTGAGTTGACGATTCCAAACTGCCCTTTGTCTTCTAGCCGGCTTTGATACAAACGCTACTCCTACTCAGGGTACATCTGCCGCTGGGGAAAATTTTTCGGAAAAAACGACCTTCCCTAAATTTCTCCTTCAATCCCACTCCCTCCCTTCCCCTACCACTTTCTTATTTCCCTGGATTTTTCCAAGTTTCTACCATTATTTCTAAATTTCACGTCAATTATACACATTTTTCCAAGAAATTCTGC